CAACATGCCATACAGGACGGCCATAGAATAAGTGAGAAATGTTTAAAATTGCTGAGACCGGTACACGACAAAAGGTTTCTGGATGCCTTCGAAAGCTTGGAAATCGAAAAGAGCGGAATGAGTTCTATGAATAACGACAAAGGTCCTATTTCGAACAGCCCTTTGTTTGGTCTTATACGTAATAATTCTAAATGAAGAACCGATAAATATTAGAGATGTTCGCTAACATAGAGGAAATACATAACAAATTAGAGCTATTAAAAATAGGTAGTTTAGGATAGGATCAATAACAGGTAGTAGTTAGGTAATATTATTGGGATTGGGAGGTCGCAAAGAAGGTTATCACAGCACCGGCAGTTGAATGGGCTATCAAGTCGTTTCAGCCCTTCAAATCTCTTGGAGAGAATGGTATATTTCCAGCTCTTCTTCTAAACGGACTGGATATAATTTTACCTATTCTCACAAAATTGTATAGAGCTAGTCTAGCGTGGAACTATATACCACCCAGTTGGTTGGCAGCAAGGGTGGTATATACACCAAAAGTGGGTCGGAGAGACCCACACCCTAAATCGGTACGACCAATCAGCCATACATTCTTCCTGTTAAAAGGACTTGAGAGGATACTGGACGGACACATCAGTAGGGAAGCATTATATGTATCCCTCCTGAATAACCACCAGTATGCTTATCACACCGGCAAATCGATATATTTAGCATTAATCAACCTTGTTGAGAAAATCTCCCAATCCCTTGACAACAAGGAGATTGCGGTTGCTGTATTTCTTGATATTGAAGGAAAGGTATAGAATTGGCTGGTTCTGTGACATGCTGGTAAACAGAACTGCAACTACGACACTTCAAGAGAGGCCATTAAGTTCAGGGTCACCAGTGGCTGCCCTCAATTTTGGGGTACTATCTCCCCTTCTGTGGTCGCTCCTGATGGATAGTCTGCTTGATGCCCTCGACAGAAGAAAAATTGATCTGCAAGCTTATGCAGATGACCTAGTCATCCTGGCAAGGTCCACGTCGGGAAGGGTAGCTTGTAATATCCTCCAAAGCACTTTGGACGATGTTCGAAGTTGGTGCCTGAGGGAGCAGATGTCTGTCAACCCCATCAAAACTGTGTTGATCCCCTTCACCAGGAGGAGAAAATTAGACGATCTAACGTCACTTTCCCTCAATGGTGAGGTCATTCCATTTGGAACGGAGGTGAAATATATTGGCATTGTCCTTGATAAAAGACTCTCCTGGAACGCTCACTTGGAAAAAGTTTTACACAAAACCAGACTGTCTCTATGGACATGTCGAAGGATTTGTGGTGAAACTTGGGGTTTAGGTCCCAAACAAATCCATTGGATTCATGTGATGATTATCAGACCAATGATCACTTATGGTGCAATTGCCTGGTGTCCAATGGCTTTACAGAAAACGGCCCAAGCGAAGCTCTCTGGCTTTCAGAGACAAGGCTGTCTGGCTATTAGTTGTGCCATAAGTACCACACCGTCAGCGGCCATGAAGATCCTTCTAGATCTACCTCCTCTCCACATTTTTCTGGAGAGAGAGGCTAGATGGACTGCATACAGACTAGTGCATATTGCCAATTGCACAAATCAATTTAATGCAGAGTGCAACAGACTGTTGGTTGACACTGGAAGTCACGGCATTCTGTGAGTAGAGAGGAAAAGAGAGTAGAGAGAACTGGATCCTCCGGGAGAAGGAAATATTGAGAGCAGATAGTTGTTGGTTCACAGATGGATCAAAAAACACCTTCCGGTTCTTGTGCAGGTGTTTTTTGTCGCAGACCCAGGACACATATATCTTCCTGCCTAGGAACTTATGCGACTGAAAAGCGGAAATTTACGCTATTGAATTGTGTACGGAGAGATTGGATAAATCCAAACTCATACACAAGTCAATAAAAATATTCTCGGACAGTCAAGTGTCGTTGGAAGCTTTTGGCTCCTACCGAGCAACGTCTAAATTGGTAGCAAATTGCCAAAAACGAATCTGCTCGATAGGAAGACTTGACAAATTGTATCTGGTCTGGATTCCTGGCCATACTGCCCTGGAAGGCATCGCAGCTGCTGACTCCCTTGCAAAGGAGGGTGCTGCAAGCAGCTTCATCGGACCAGAACCTATCATTGGCATTGCTTCAGTCTTTGCCAAACAAACATTGAACACCTGGAGGGCAAGAAGATTTATAGACCTCTAGCAGAATCTTCCAAGATTGGCTCACTCCAAGGCGTTTATTCACCCTTCGAATCTTGATACCAAACAGTTGTTGGACTACAGTAGGGATGAACTACGATATCTAACAGGCCTTCTTACAGGTCACTGTCAATTGAATCATCATATGCAGAGACTCTGACTATCGGAAAACAGAAGAGCATATACTTTGTGCCTGCCCCGCTGGGGACAGAATCAGGTTTTTAGAGTTCGGCAGAGCCGTACTCTTACCATCTGACCTGAAAGACCACTCACCATAGAAACTAATCAGCTTCGTTGAAAAGCTGGGTTTATTTGGTCAAGTGTGAATAGGTGTGAGCCACAATAAATCCATGTGGGTTGCGGTAGAGGGTTGAATAGACCCACTCACATTAGACCTAACCTAACCTAGGTAATACTAACAGGCATTACTTAGGCCACTAGCATATTAAAACACTAACATAGTAAAATTCAGTCATAATGATCTCCTGAGGACACTAATTTGGTTAGCGCAACGCGCGTCGAGAGACCGTAACTTTTGTTGGGAAAGTTTGTAAAACATTTCAGTAAAAATCTCACAATGAAATGTTTCTTGAATATGTTGTGGATTTTTTTATATTGGTTTTTTTGGGGTTTATAACCTTTGTTGTGAACCGAATACTCGAGGAACAAATAACTTATTCTGTGTGTGTGTGTGGGCGCGCGCGCGCGTGCGTGGGCATTTGTAGACATGCGAGGACTTTCGTCCGTACCAGATAGGTCTTACGAGGACACTTTATCATGCGAGGGCACACACGCCGTCCTCGCAACCTTTCGACTTCATTTTAGTATTCTACGTATTATTCCGACCTCAGATGTACCTATAAATCAAAGACAGACGATGTCCTCATAAGACCCTGTTACTACGGACGCTCAGTTCACCTAACACACCGCTAGGCGTGCAACGCTAGGTGTGTGTGTGTGTGTGTGTGTGTTGCTACATAAATGGTAAAATATATTAGCCTTTTTTAATTTTGTTGATCAAATGCTTTTATTAACACTGAAATTTGGCAATGCGCCGGTCATCTTTCAAACAAATAATGTGACCTTTGGTGTTACTATTATAAAAATCATTGTTACACATATTAAATAATATAGGTTTCAAAATTATATCATGTAGAATTCCAATTTTTATTGTTTCGAAGATGCTGAGATGGTTATTTATACTTACATATTGTTTTTCATCTGTGGAAAAACCTTTCATCGATTCTAAATATGTTGCCTCTTAAACCAACTCTTTCTATAGATGCAAGTTATTTTTGATAGCACATGGTATCACATACTTCACCTAAATCAATAAATATGCATAAACATGGTAAGCATTCCTCGAACAATCTATAAATTGCATCATTTGAAAATGCAGCTTCATAGGTTCCAAACTGGTCAGAAGGAAGTATTTTATATTTCTTGTTATATGTTTGTTAAATTTTTAATCTCATTTAGAATATGTCTGTCTTACATACTCCATAAAAAAAAAATTGTTATATAAGAGTTTAGTAGAGCCCCATCTGAGATATGGTATAATTGGTTGGGGTGGAGAGTCGAAAACTCATCTACATTCCCTTGAGGTTATGCAGAAGAGATTTATCAGATGTATCCTACGGAAAGGTTACGACTACCCTAGCGATCTACTTTATTATGTTTTAATTTTTATCTCTTGAAGACAGAAGAACCTATTATTCTTACATATTCATATACAAACTGGTAAACATTCTTGTTAACAAACCAAAACTACTGTTTCAACTACAGTTTTATGTGCCCAGAATCAGTGGTAGAACTGAACAATGTTTTACCTACCATCACTGAAAACCAATATGTTATTAAAATCACCTTATTTGCAATGTCCTATGAACTAAATCAAGTCTGCCAAAAATTAAACCTATATTCAACATGATTGAATAGATTCAACATAGAGAAAAAAACACTATGTTTGCAAAGCAACGAATACTAATTTGAAATTTGTTTCTTAATCCATGAAGGTATTATTGTTACGATATATGTATATTTCGTATATTCAACACTTTCATCCTGTATATTATGTTTGCAAATCATCAAACACATACTTCCAATTTGTTTTTTTTTCTTTAAATATTCCTCCATGAATGTATTACCATTACGATATGTATATATTTCCTATATTTAACACTTTCATCCCAAAAGTGTATAATACTGTGTCCTGCAATTGGGTCTAGTGCCTGTTCGGAGAATATAAGATTTTTTCATTTGATTGGAAATTCCCAATTCAACTGTAGTTGCAGTCCAGCTTGTAGCCACTTCAGTCCAGTATAACCAGGGAATTTTTTACCTGAAATGGCTAGTTATGTTGCTTCAAAATTGGGTTTTATAAATTCATTGCAAACAATTCTCTTTGCACATTTCAATAATCATCAGAAGTGAACATATTCTAACAAATGGAAACATTTTTGAATAACACACTTATCTCCACAAGTGTGTCCCCCAAAGAGATTTAGGTTTAATAATAATAAGTTAATGAGCATGAAAGTTGATTCAAACCCACAATAACCATTTTTCACCCTTTACTTTTTTACGAAGCTATTTTAAGCAATACAGCATTAATCCTTATCCAATTAAGCACCTTAAATATATCATGCATCAAATATGCAATATAGCCTTTTACAGCATGTAATTTAAATGAATATTTTCGAAGATATCACAGATTCAAAATGCGAGGACAAACCGGTTGCCGCGGTACCGGGCGGGGCTGTACCGGTACCGTCTCAAAAATAAGAAAGTAATATTTTTGGAGTTTTTTATCAAATAAAATTAATATACCATTTTGTACAATAAAATATTCATTCAAAAATGGGATAGATACTACAAGACTTTCTTACAATGTGAAATTGAAATTATAGGACAAATAATGAAGTAGATGAAGTTAAGCATAATCTGAAATAGGCTTACAAACTCGTTATTTTTCTCTTCATCTAAAAAGGATTAACTCAATATTTTGCAGTTTTTGAACAAATTCAGTTGATAAATAATTTTGTATTAGAAAATATACATTTAATAATGTGATACCTGAAGACTTTTTCACAATAGTAAAATCAATAAAGTAGGTGAAATCGAATATAATCTGTAACCTGCTCACAATTTAGACGGATTTTTTTTTTTCTCGTCTCCAAAAAATGGAATCAATATTTTTGAATACCTCATCTACAGATTTTGTAGCATCAATACGATGATGAATACCCCTTATTTGATAGTAGTCAACAAGTGGTTTGGTTTGATTATGATAAGTGAACAGCCTTTTCTTCAGAGCCTCCACATTATCATCTGATCTCCTGGTCAATGGCTCTCCTGTTATATCATCAGTCATTGTTTTTTTCGGAGGATTGAATTCTTCATGGTAAGATCGGCCACTAGAGCTGTGGATCAAACGGCCAGTTATTCTTCGAAACAACAGGCTGTCGTCAATGCCAAATTCTACCACCGCATCTAGTTCGGTGTTCCTTTTATCGAGAAGGTCATCCAGCTACAACAGAATTAATATCTTTTTTTATTCTTGGTGAATTGGTAAATATTTGTTATTCTGGTCAACACTTGTTTTTGAAAGAAATGTTGTTACATTCATGTATCAAAACTACTCAAAAAAGACTATTTCAGGGACTTGAGCTGGATTTATGCAGCATCTACATTTATGTTCATTTAATTTTCAGTTCAACTTCAACTATGAAATTTTCATTAATATACAACAGATATTTTATGCAGCACTATTTTTCCTTAAACTACGCTTGGCACTTATAATTCATCATAAAAAATCATGAACAAAGTTAACCTAACCTTGTTTAGTGGTACGTATTACTTCTTGTTGAACTTTGCAAGTTGTGAACGCCTTGTACAATACTGGTGTGGAGACCACTGCCATTTTAAATTTGCCAATTTATATTTAGCTGCCAAACTGCCAGTTGCGTCGGATATTTCTCACCGTTCTTCAAAAACAAGTGTAATTTTAATACATTGTAGATTTATGTAGTATCAGTAAAAAATGTTCAATGTTTACTGTTCGTCCGTACGATTTCTGTTCAACAGTTTGATGAATGGATTACTTAATCACAGTCATTTACTTATATAGGAGAATTTTTTTGAAAAAATCAAATTTCAACAATTCACAAATATTAAGCCAACTTCATAATTTGAGAAAGAGATGGGAACACTAATGAGAGCATCCCATATTAAATTTGACCGACTTCAAAATATTTAGCCAACTTCAGAAAGAGATAACAACACTACTGAGAATATCCTACATCAATATGAATATCTCGCAAGCCTTCTAAGAGGTGAAGTTGCAGATGAATGAAAAAATTCAATTTAATCTACTCCGAAATACTTAGGCAAAGTTATATTGTCAGAGATAATAGTCTGGGTCACAAGATCCTTTTTTTTGGAACTTCTGTCCAAGGGCACCGAAATTTATGATCCAGGGCTCATTCGATTCGGAATGACCTCTAGCAACTTTTTGAAAAATTTCAAGAG